GCTCTGAGCTGTCAGCACAGAGCCTGACGCGGGGCTCGAATCCAGGAACCGCGAGATCATGAGCTGAACTTGGACGCTTAACTCACTGAGCCACCCAGGCGCCCCATAAACAGTTTCAATATTGATGAAGTTCAAATCATCAAATATATTCCCTTTATGGTTGTGCCTTTTGTGCACAGTCTAAAAAATTTTGTCGAACTCGAGGTTGTGAAGATTCTCTCCTCTGTCTTCTAGACATTTTATTGCTTTAGCTTTCCAGTTAGGTATATGGTCCGTTGTGAACCTCCAGCACCACTGGGTTTCCAGTATCTCTGCTCTGCTCCCAACTGCATAGCAGCCACTCTGCAGAGAGCAGCTAATTTAGCCCTTGGCATGCACATCCCCGCCCCCTCAGCCAGGGAGTCATGGGGCTCCCCTTGGTGCACAGCTCTCCTCCCTCTCCAGGGCCATGTTCTCTAGAGCCCAGCTGCTTTAGCTGTCCTACACTGGGCAGCTCAGTGGGGACTGCTGTGCGTGCTTGGGCTCTGCTTCTCGGTGCAGCAGCCTCTGGGAAAGAGGCGAGGCTATCACGAGTTTTCCTTTTCTCAGGGATGGCACTCTTGTGCTGCCTGTTACCCCTCCCCTGAAAATAGCTGCTTTCTAGATATCGACAGTTTTGTGGTTTCTTACGATGGGAGGGCTAGCTTCGCCCCAGCTACTGTGTTAAGGCTGCAAGTGGAAGTCTAATCATAGCGTTTTAGTGCAGGCTGGAGTGAAGGAGCTGCCTGGAGGCAACATCGCTCGCCGATGCTTGGGTCAGCCCACGATCATTTAGGAGATTCTGGTGGATGTGCCAGGATTAGGAGAGGAGACAGGAGCCTTTTAGAGAGGTGGGAGAAGAGAGAGGCCGAGTCTGAGTCTGGGAGGGGCCTGGCGCCCGCTCTCGGTGGCTTTGTGGTGTGTCTCGGCAGGCCTTAGCCCAGGGAGTTCAGAGACACCTGCTTTCAACAGACAATGTGAGCTGCGACAGTGATGGTGTCAGGGACAAGCAGAAGTCGACAAAGGATTAAGACAAACACAGTACTGACTGACATGGAACTTTCCTCGACTCATTAGATGTGGGCTGAGTCAGATTTAATTTGACTTGAAATAATATATTTCTTACTTACCCGAGTTCACGAAGCAAGATTTAGACCTGCTACCACAACAAAGAAGATAAAAGATTTGCATAATTTCCCTCTCCCCCAGATAGTTTTCTTTATATATACTAGTAACTATATTATTATTATGATTAACTTTAAAAATAAAAATAAATTACAAAGCATCAATCTGGCTGAGTCTTACAGTCTTACAGACACTGACGAGGGAAAGAGGCCAGGCGTAAAGGTACACACTGACGGATTCCGTTCACGTGAAATTCAAGAACACACAAAACTCTACGATGGTAGAGATCAGAGATCATGGTTATGGGAGTGGGGCGTGAGATGGGAGGGGCCTCAAGGAGGCTTCTGGGGTACTGGAAATGGAAATGTTCCATTGCTTGATGTGGGGGACGATACCTGGGTGTGTGCATTCAATGTAAAGATCATTGCATTTTACACTTAAGTTTAGGGGGCTTTTTCTGTTATAGTTTATTTTTTATTTTTTTAAATGTTTTTATTTATTTTTGAGACAGAGAGAGACAGAGCATGAGCAGGGAGGGGCAGAGAGAGAGAGGGAGACACAGAATCCAAAGCAGGCTCCAGGCTCTGAGCTGTCAGCACAGAGCCCGATGCAGGGCTCGAACTCACAGACCGTGAGATCATGACCCGAGCCGAAGTCGGACGCCCAACCGACTGAGCCACCCAGGGGCTAGGGGGCTTTTTCTTAACAGTGTTCCCTGGGAATCTTTCTGTAGACACACAGAATTATCTCATTCTTTGTAATGGCTGATGCTCAATGCTCTGATATTTCTTTAACAGCCCCTCTGTCCATGTACTTTACAGAACAATGCCTTCCCCAGTACACTTGCTGTTGGGTTTTTATTTTGTGCTGTTTGGAGACTAAGGGGGGAACAGGGGCAGGATTAAGTTTTAGCTCTTCTCCCGTGTTGCCTTGGGGCCTGAGCCAAATCGTTTCTTCTCTCTGAGCCTCAACCGCTTCATCTGTAAAATGGATTCTGAAGTCTACTGAAAGGTCTTTCAAAAACAAAAGCTGGGGCTCGGTGTTTGATTGGTCTGGGAAATGCTGTGGTCAACAGAGTGAATTCCTTGTTGCCTTCATTATGTGAATGAGCAGTGTCAATCTCCAAGAGGGGACAAGAAAGAGTATTGGCCTTCCTTGAATGGCAGAAGTCTTTTGGAGATTTTTCTCAAAGAGCCTTCCTGGGGCTTGGTATTTGTGGGACTCTTGTTAGGAAAAGCTACAGCATGATGGGATCCCATAAGGCCCCATCTTGCTCTGAGGTCCAGCACAAAGGAGGCGTTGGAGCATGTATATCAAATCAACAAGTGAACAAATCTTTTGGAAACATATAGAGATCAGCCGTCCATTGCTCTGCTTACGATCCGTCAATGGCTTAAACAAACCAACAGACCCACAAACCTTTAATGGCCTCTTATGAATCTCAGAATAAAATCCCGTCCCTTTCCGTGGTGTGCATGATCAGGCCCAGGTGACCTCCCCAGCCTTCTTTTATATGCCTCCCTCACTTCCCCACCTGGGAGGCAACAGAGTGCAGGGTAAGCGTGCTAAGAGTTCTGAAATCAGATGGACCTGGCTTCAAATCCTGGTAGATCGTGGCTATATGGTCTTTTTGCCTTTCTGAGCCTCGGTTTACCCATCTGTGAATGAAGCTGTTAATAGCTGCCTCTCGGGAATGCTGTAAGTCATGAAAGAGAGAGGGGGGTGGAAGCACCAGGCTGTGCATAGTAAGTGATAACATTTCCCATTTTGACAAAGTTCTACATGAGGTTGAATTTCAGTCCTAAGAACAAATACTCCGGGAGGTCTATAATTCAGATGTATCCTATTTATTTCAAGTCGTTCATTCACTCATTCATTCATTCAGCTACTAATACGAACCAAGCACCACTGTAGGCACTAGGGATATAGTAGGAAACTAAATGAAAAAACCCAGCCCTTCTGGAGCGCACGTTATGCTGGCGGTGCTGGGGATGAAGTTAGAGAGTCAGTCAGTAGTGACTTCAGGGACAGAGAACCCAAGCACCCATGCTGTGTTCAACCAGGTCGGGCTCCAGGGAGAGTCCGGCTGAAATTCAGCCTCTTCTGACTTTGAGGGCCTTACAGTCTGTCTGGAGTGTCAAAGGGACCCCAGATGGGAGGAAGGCAGCATGCATCTGGTCTGGCCTCACCTGTTTCTTGTCCTCACAGCGACTGCCCCTTCTCCTTTCAAGACTCTCGGCTGCCACTCGCCCCCTGCTGCCCACCTGTTGGATCACCATGGCCTCAGGTCAGGCTGCCATCTGCCGGGCAGAGGGGCACCCTCCTCCTTCCTGGCCTCTGGTCACCAGGCATCAAACACTGAGTTCTGATGTCATAGAAGGTGGGAGACAGCAAGGCCCCCACCTCGTCACCACCCTGATTTTTATTCCTACCTCTTACATTTTTTTTTTCATATAAATGTAAAAAACAAAGATCAGGAAAAACAAAAGCATCAAAATATTGTGTTTCAGGATGGTGATTTTTCAGATTTTTTTCTCCTGTATTTTCAAATCTTTAATAAAATAGGAGTTTTAAAATACAAATCAATAAAAGTTTTCACTGAAACTTTTATTGAGATAGTTGTAAATACACATGCAGTAGTAAGAAATAATACAGGGGGTCCACTGTACCTTATACCCAGTTTCCCCCTGTAATCCCCTAGATCCCCAGTATCCCCAAGATACTGCCATTGACCCAATCTACCAATCTTATTCAGACCCCTCCAGTTTTACTTGGACTCATTTTGTATGTGTATTTAATTCTAAATATTTGCCACGTGTGTGGGTGTCTGTATCCATCCCTACAGTCAAGATGCAGCAGAATTTCGAGATTCCAGAAGAATAGTGGACGCCCACCATCCTTTCCACTGTCCCCACCTCCTGGCAACCACTCATCTGTTCTCCACTTCTAAGATGTTGTCTTTTCAAAACTGGAATATCAAATAGTATGCTATCTTTGGATGTGGGCTTTCTTGTACTTCGCATCGTTCTCTGGAGATTCATCCAGATTGGCGAAGTATCATTAGTTAGTTCCTCTTTAGTGCCCCGTGACATGTATGTGTTTGTTTAACCGTTCACCCACTGAAGGACATCTGGGCTAGTTCTAATTACTGGCTCTTCCGAATAAGCTGATATGGACATTTTTGTACAGTGTTTGTGTGAACCTAAGTTTTCGTTTCTCTGGGATGCCTAAGATGCGAATTGCTGAGCTTTATGGTAATTGCTTAATAGTTTTGTAAGAAACTGTCAAACTGTTTTCTAGAATGGCTGTACCGTTTCACATTCCCATTAGCAATGTATGAACAATACGGCTTCTCCTCAACCTCGCCAGCTCTTGGTGTTTCCATTATTTTTTATTTTGGACATTTTGATAGGTAGATAGTGATCTCCTTGTGGTTTTAATTTGCATTTTCCTAATAGTTAATGATATTGAACTTTTACCGTGTGCTTATTTGCCATCTGTATCTCCTTTTCAGTAAAATCTCTGTTCATGTCTCCTGCCCATTTTCTAACTGGATTGGTTCTTTTTACACTTGAGTTTTGAGAGTTATTATTCTTTAATTAATTTGTTTAGTTTGAGAGAGAGAGAGAGAGAGGGAGGCAGAGAGAGAATCCTAAGCAGGCTCTGCACTGTCAGCAGACCATGAGATCATAACCTGAGCCGAAATCAAGAGTTGGACACCTAACTGACTGAGCCATCCAGGGGCCCCAAGAGTTCTTTGTATGTTCTAGATACTAGTCCTTTTTGAATATATGGCTTGTGAATATCTTCTTCCAATGTGTAGCTTGTCTCTTCATCCTCTTCACGTGGATTTTTGCAGAGACAAAGTATTTAATTTTAACGAGGTCTGATTTATTAATTTTTGTTTTATGAATCATGTTTTTTTTTGTGTAAAGTCTAAGAACTCTTTGCCTGGCCCTAGAAACAGAAGATTTTCTCCTATTTTAAAAACATGTTGGGGCACCTGCGTGGCTCAGTTGGTTAGGTGTCTGACTTCGGCTCAGGTCATGATCTCACAGTTTGTGAGTTCGAGCCCACGTCGGGTTCTGTGCTGACAGCTCAGAGCCTGGAGCCTGCTTCAGATTCTGTGTTCCATCTCTCTCTCTCTCTCTCTCTCAAAAATAAATAAAACCATTAAAAAAAACATGCTATAGTTTTATGTCTTACAGTCCAGTCCATAATCTGTTTGGAGTTAATTTTTATATGAGGTGTGAGGTTGGGATCACGGTTCTTTTTGTTTGTTTGTTTTGTCTTTTTTTGTTGTTGTTGTTGCACCTTTGTAAAAAATCAGTTGCACATATTTGTGTAGGTCTATTTCTGTGTTCTCTATTTTGTTTCATTGATCTGTGTATCCTTGCACCAATACCACATTGTCTTGTTTACCATGGCTATACAACAAGCCTTAGTATTGAGTAGAGTGATTTCTTCTTCTTTGTTCTCCTTTATCAAGATGGTCTCAGCACTTCTAGGGCTGTTATGTTTTTCCATATACACTTTAGAACAAGCTTGTCTACATCTACAAAAAAGAAACCCTGGCTGGGATTTTGATAGTAATTGCATTAAACCTATAGGGGCGCCTGGGTGTCTCAGTTGGTTAAGCGTCCGACTTCGGCTCAGGTCATGATCTCATGGTTGGTGGGTTCGAACCCCGCATCAGGCTCTGTGCTGACAGCTCAGAGCCTGGAACCTTCTTCAGATTCTGTGTCTCCCTCTCTCTCTGCCCCTCCCCCATTCATGCTCTGTCTCTCTCTGTCTCAAAAATAAATAAATTTAAAAAAAAAAATTAAAAAAAAAAAACCCTATAGATCCCTCTGGGGAGAAGTGACATCTTCACTGTGTTGTGTCTCCCAATCCGTGAACACAGTATGCCTCTCCATTTATTTAGGTTTTCTTTGGTCAGCATTTTGCAGTTTTCAGCAGACAGAGCCTCTTTAAATGTATATTTAAATATTACATTTTTTTTTTACTTCTCTCGTATATTTTTTAATTAAAAAATTAACTACCCATTCCTTTTTAAAAAAAATTTTTAGTTTCAGGTGTACAATAGAGTGATTCAACACTTTCATACAAAGCCCTAGTCTATCAAACAAATGTCATGTGTTAAGAAATCATTAATCTGCAACATTTTTATGCACTAACTTTCCCAAAGTTACATGTCCACAGCTTCTGATTAGCACCCGGATAACTTACTCATTGAACACCTACTATACTTTAGTCATTTCACTAGCTTATTTTTATTGCGTCTTCTCTGCGCTATAATTTTGTAGATAGTTGGGGATTAAGTATGTTTTACTAGCCATTGTGTCTCTAATTCCCATTATGCAGCCTGTTACACACTAAATGTTTGGTAAAAATATTTGTTGAAGGGATGAATAATGAGCAACTTCAAACTGTGGGTTCTGAGAGGCCATGAACTGTGTCTGGTGAATACATTTTTGTATTCATAATACTTGGCTCAGTAAATATTTGTTGAATGAGTAAAGCAGGTGGTATGATTTTAATTTTACCAATGAAGAAGCTGAGCCCTAGGGAGGCTAGGGAAGGATATTAGCCGTAGTGGCTGGCATGTAGTGAGTATTGACTTTGTGCCAGACCCCATGTTAAGTGCTTTTTCCATACATTATCTCATTTAATCCTCATAGCTGCCCTGCAAGATTAGGGTTGCCAGTCTCCCCTTGGGGGATGTTACTTTCCTCATTCAAGATCACACACCTTACCTGGGCTGAATGCGGGTCTATTTAATTCCAGAGCCTTTTAGTTGACCACAAGGAATTAATGTAATTTCAGCCCAAAGCAAAGAAAGTTGCCTTTCTTATTATCCTTTATGGCTTTATTGTGCATAAGTAGATGTGGGATTCCCATTAAACTTTTTGAAATATCAAAAGTAGCTTTATTCTCTCCTCTCCGTCCAACTCTATGACTCCCTTAGCTTAGCACGTAGGGATCTCATACCTCTCCTTTCATACCATTCCTTCTCCTTCCCCCCTTCTCTAGCATATTCTTATTATTATCATCCACAGCTAAGATATTTCAAGAAATGACTGAGTACCAGGCACTGTGCTTCACATATATTGGCTCACTGTATTATTATTGCAACTCTAGGTAATAAGTAATATCATTGTCCCCATTTACAGATGAGGAGACTGAGGCTCACAGTGGTTAAAGTTTCTTTCTCAAGGTTACACAACTAGTGAGAGCCAGGGCTGAGATCTGAACTCTGTGTGTCTCATGTAAGCTCCTAGGCTCTTGATTGCCATGAGGTTTGCCTCTTCCTTGGAGAAACTCAAGACCAGAAAAAGAAAAGGACCTGTCCGAGTCAGTTGGAACAAAGGGACCAGATCTCAAGTCTCTGATCCCCACGCAGGGGGCTTTTTATTTTTTTTTTTCAACGTTTATTTATTTTTGGGACAGAGAGAGACAGAGCATGAACGGGGGAGGGGCAGAGAGAGAGGGAGACACAGAATCGGAAACAGGCTCCAGGCTCTGAGCCATCAGCCCAGAGCCCGACGCGGGGCTCGAACTCACGGACCGTGAGATCGTGACCTGGTTGAAGTCGGACGCTTAACCGACTGCGCCACCCAGGCGCCCCAACAGGGGGCTTTTTAAAAGGCCGTTTGTGTCATTTCCATGGTGCAAGATCATGGAGATGACGCCATTGCTCCAGGGCAGCTATTGGCCTCTCGGACTTAACCTCGCAGAAACATTTCAGATGTCAAATGTAGATCAAAGACGGGGCACTAAACTAATTACAACACACGGAGAGTAATGAATTACAGTCATGGAAAGAGAAGATGACCAGGAACTTTTTCTAGGAAACCCAATGAATTCTTCCAGGAAACTGCCCTGAGGAACAGCGACAAGTCGGGAAGCTTCTGAGATTAGTTGGTAGGGCCATTTGCTGTGGATTCAGCTTCAGGGCAGGGAAGAGAGGAAAGAAGGGCCTTGCCTGGCCCTCAGAGTGCATGCCCAGAAACTGGTCTGGGTTGAGGGCTGGGAAGGGTCCACACTGAGCCCTGTGGCTGACAGCCTACCCAGGCCTCCCATTTCCCAGTAAAGGAAGAAGGCGGGGATGAGACGGGAGGAGGGGTACTGTAGACAAGGGAATTAGGCTTCTTGCGTGAATGTGGGAATGAATGGGGGAGGGAGGGAATGAATGGAAAATGTGCGAACGAATGGTGTTCCAGGCAAATAACTAATTGAAAAATTCCACCCTGCCACAGGGGACGTCTGCCCCATACCT